CTCAGGGCTGTCGGTGCTACGGGTGGCCTACGGGGACGTGGCTCAGCTGGGAGTCTTCTGCACGGCCCCCATCCCCAAAGGAGTCCGCTTCGGCCCTTTCCAAGGCAAAGTGGTCAACACCAGCGAGATCAAGACTTACGACGACAATTCCCTCATGTGGGAGGTAGAGGAGGCGCCGCCGGGTCCCCCCCCTTCAACCCCAAACTCAGCCCCCCATCTCCCGCAGCCCGGTGCGGATGGGCTGGGACTGGTATGGACTGGAAAACTTCAAATCCTCCTCTCGCCGCTCTCCAGATCTTTGAATACGGGCGCCTGAGCCACTTCATCGACGGGAAGGGCGCCGCTGGCAACTGGATGTCGCTGGTCAACTGTGCCCGGTTCCCCGAGGAGCAGAACCTGACGGCCATCCAGTGCCAAGGCCAGATCTTCTACGAGACCTGCAAGGAGATCCTGCCCAAACAGGAGCTCTTGGTGTGGTACGGAGACTGCTACGTCCAGTTCCTGGGCATCCCCATCAGCCTGAAGGGCACCCCCGAGGGGAAGAGACCCCCGCAGCATCCCGAAGGTGAGCCCTCCGGGGGACACTGCCCCCCAATTCCCATCGGGAATCCGGCCGGGATTAGGTTGGCATGAAGGGAGGTGAAAGAAAATCCGGCATCACCTTTTATTTTCCATCCATATCTTACTCCAAACGCCCCCCGCTCCCTGCGGGGGGGGTGACCCGGCACCTCGGGGATGCTCTGGGGGTGACGGTGACCCCCCAACCCCACTCCCATGCTCTGCTTGCCCTCCCCCTTCTGCCCGCAGCACCCCAAATTGCAGCTTCTCCTCAGTACCCCGGGGCTTGCACCGGGAGCTGCCGCCTCCTTGGGCTTCGAGAGGCCCTCCCTTTTATCTTTTCCCCCCAAAACTCACCTTTTCCTCGGGGGAAGTTGCGTTAAAAGTCTTCATCTGGAGATTGGAAAACATCTGGTGGCGCTGGGCTGGGCTGGTTGTGCCGTTGTTCGGGGGGGGGGTGTCATTTTGGGGAGCAAAAAGGCTTTTTGGGGGACATTCCCGATTTTGGTCCCATTTTATCCTGCGATCGCACTCTCTTGACTTGCTATTTGTGGTGCAATTAACGCTCTCGGTAAATGAGGCAGGCTGAAGCCGTTTGCTCGCAGAAGAAATGCCAAAAACGCACTTAAAAACCGGGATTAAACCCTTATAACGTGCAGAAAAAAAAAAAAAAAATATAAACAAACCTTCGGTATGAAGAAAAGCGGTTTTGTGCCAATGCAGGGTGAGCCGGGTGGGTCAAGGGGTGGGACAGCAAGGGAGATTAGCATTTGGCACATTAGCACGGAAATTTGGCACGGAAATTCCTTAAAACTGTTGTCCTCAGGTGCCTGGTTGGCGGCTGGTAAATTAATTTCATTTTTGTAAGGCTTAAGCCAAAGTGAACTTTTATTCAAGCCAGCAAAAGGGATGTGTTAAACGTTTGAAGCCTTTTCCCCTTGTCGTTCCGAAGTTCAGCTCTTTAAGAACAGTTTGAAATGTTTAGAAGAAAACCAAATAAACGTGTTCTTGCTCGGTAGCGTTTTGAAAATGACAGAGGAGACACGCAGATTTATTTTTCTTTCGGGGCCGGGAGGTGACATCGAAGGGCAATGTCCCTAATAAACAGCTGTTGATGTTTTGGGGGGCTGGGGGGGGAAGACCCTTTTCTGCGCGATTCTGCCTTGATTTTTCCCGGATGCGCCGGGTGTTGATGGGGATACAAGGATGAAATCGTGATTTTGGCTAAAAAACAAAGCTTTTTATCGAGCTGCGGGCTCTGGGTCGTTCCCCTCCGTTAGAAAAGCAATAAATAAGAAAGCAGAGATGTATTTGGTTAATTATACTCCCAGAATCTATGTAGTATTATTACCCCTCCCGGAGACTTCAAATTCCCCAGCTCTGAGGAGGGAGAGGGGGTTGGAAATGAGCCTTTTTTTTTTTCTGTGGTATAACCAGGATGGGGGGAAATGGCATTTTTCTTCCCTCCTGCCCCACAGAAGCCGGGGAGAGCTTCAAGTGCGAGCGGTGCGGGAAGGTGTTCGCCTACAGGTACTACCGGGACAAACACCTCAAATACACCCGCTGCGTGGACCAAGGGGACCGCAAATTCCCCTGTCACCTCTGCAACCGCTCCTTCGAGAAGAGGGACAGGCTGAGGATCCACATCCTCCACGTCCACGAGAAGCACAGACCCCACAAGGTGAGCCGGGACTCTCCCCACTTACTGCTTCTTCGGGGTCGGGGTAGAGGGGAGAGGATTAATTTAATTAAGGAGGCTTTTTTTTAGGGTCGAGGGGAGATGCTGGTGGTGTTTCCCCTCCTCCGGTTCCCCTGGCAGTTCCCTGATGCAGCTGTTCTGCCTGTAAAACCAGAATTTGTCTTGTGCAGCAGAGTTTAGTTCAGTGAATTGAACTGATTTATATCGGGGAAAATCAACTCCTCAGCCCCACTGAGGCTTTAAAAAACAAAAACAAAAAGCCTGTTTCTCCTGGGTGTTTTGTTTGGTTTTTTTTTTTTTTTTTTTTTTTTTCTTTTTTTTTTGTTTTTCCTTTTTTTTTGTTTCAGTTTTGCTTGTCGTTTTGCTGCTTTTCTTACAAAGTGTGAGGCTAAATTGTGTATGAAGGTGCTGCACTTCTCCAGGATCAGGAGAAGACTGTGTTTCACCACCCACACTCCCCCCTGTCAGTGTCAGTGCCTGTGAGACACAAGAGAAATTAAAAGTTTTACATCCAACATAGAGCAGATTTTCAACAGATTAAAGCAAATCCTTGCTGAGATACTTCCCTCCTCTCCCCTGAACACCTCTCTTGTAGCATCTGTTTTTTCGAGGAGCACAGAGGGTCAAAAATCAGACTTTTCCTAAAGGCTTGGGAAGGGCAAGTTCCAGTGCTTGAAATGGCACAATTAAATCAGCCCTGAAAAATCCTCCAAACACCTCTTTAGGGAATAACTTGAATTTTTCAGGAAAAGCTTTTATTATCCGCAATATTACGATGTCAGGATATCACATTGATTTAGTAACAGATGAAAAAAATATAATCCTGTTAAATACAACGTATTAAATATGTAATTCCCTTTTTTCTCTCCTCCCCCTCTCCTCTCCTCCAAAAAAATACTTCAAAACAGCAGGAAGATAAACTTGTTTTGAATATATTGCGTTTGTACAAAAACAGACCAACTCAGAAAGCAAAGATGGGAAAATGTGTCAGTAAAATAATGAACCTCCTTTCAACATCAGTCGTAGCCTGGCTCATTTGGAACTTGTGAAAGATAATTTCTGGCCAATTATTGCAGGGAGGGAAATTGTTTTAAGGCTCCTACAAATGGCATTAAATCAGTGCAAGTGACTCAAATGACTTCTGTCCCCTCCGAAGGGGGTTTTTCCCTGTCGCTGTGAGGACGGCAGCTCCCTGGCAGCGCTGTCACTGCCTCATCATTTTTGGGTAAACAGCTACTATTTCAAAAGGTCCCCTTAAATAATTTTTTTTTTTAAGGAGGTTTATCTGTTTTTTCGGTGAGTGAAAATTCAAAGCAGCACCCAGAGGTTCATTTGCATTTTTAAGAAAATAATTTACAGAATTTTTCAAGTTCTGGTTACTGAAAGTCGTTATTTTCTGTTCATGTTTTGAAGGACAGTTAAATGAAATGTTTTTAACTGAATACAAAAAAGCTTTGAAATTTTGCATTATTTCCCTTTTTGTAAAAAAAAAAAAAAAAAAAAAAAAATTGCTGCAAAACCAGATGAAAATTCTGACCATTTCAAACAGTTCTTGCTTAAATTACTGCTGTGTTTGCATATAGATAAATATACATAGGAATTATACATAAACACAGCTAATTTTTCTATGCTAATGTTTCTTCCATTTAACTTAAACCTTTTTTTTATATATATATATTATTTTTTTTTTCCTCCCCAGTGCTCAGTGTGTGGGAAGAGCTTTTCTCAGTCCTCCAGCCTGAACAAACACATGAGGGTTCACTCCGGGGAGCGCCCCTACAAGTGTGTCTACTGCAACAAGGTGAGGCAGAGCCCCCATCCCTCTGTCTGCCTGCCATTTTCAATTCTTCTATTTATTTTCCATTTTCTTTTAAGAAAATAACCTCCTATTTTAATTGCTAACCGGATGAGTATCTGTTCTGGGCACGGTTGATGGTGGAAGTGGCAGGGCTGGCTGAGGCTGGAGAAACAAAATCTGGTGTGAAATCCATGTTTCATCCCAGCTGGGAGAGCTGCTGTGGGGATAAGGACTAGGAAAGCTTGAGAACGTTCCAAGCCCCATCCAAGGCACGCAGCTAGATCTGATAATTCCCCTTTTTTCATCAAATGATGGGTAGTTTTTGATATTTCTGATGCTGTTTCTGGAGCGCGGTGGAGAGATTTGGCCCATGAGCTAAACCTGCACGATAGGACTTGGTGCGTTGCTCACCTTGGAAGTAACTGGGCTGTTGATGTGCAACTGGGCAGGGAGGTTTCCTTTGAAAAAAAGACCATGAATGGAGCTATACAGCACCCGTGGGATACGTACTCCCCCTTGACTGCCCTTCCCAGCAGGGAGGATTGGGGTGAGCTCTCCCGACAGATGGAGGGTGGATGCTGCTGCTGGAGAAATATCAGGAGATCTCCAGATGCTATGGAGAGTCCCTGCAATGCAGAAGCACCATCAGTATGTAGGAAGGTGCTCCTCTTTTTGGAGAGAGAGGTTTTTTTATGACTGGCTGGACTAACACAGAGCTGAAGTGTCCTGTAGTAAAGAACCTTAGAAGACACTCCTTTTCAGCCATTATATTTCTCTCCCAGACACCCTGGCAGAGTTTAGGATGAAGAACCATAGAATGGTTTAGGTTGGAAGGGACCTTAAAGACCATCCAGTTCCAACCCCCTGCCCTGGGCAGGGACACCTCCCACCAGACCAGGTTGCTCCAAGCCCCATCCAGCCTGGCCTTGAACCCCTCCAGGGATGGGGCAGCCACAGCTTCTCTGGGCAACCTCTTCCAGTGTCTCACCACCCTCACACCAAAAAATTTCTTCCTAAGATCTAAATCTCCCCTCTTTCAGTTTACAATGTCATCCTTTAACCTTCTGAACTTGGGTAGAGATGGCAGAGTTTTACAGGTTGCTCTGAGCAGATCTCTAGGACACATGGGACTCTTGACCAGCCCCCAGCTGCTCCTATAGGACTGTTGAAGGTTGGATCAGGTGAAACCATTAGTCCTCCAGCTGCGGGATGCAGCTATCCCGGGACATAGCCATCATTTCTGTGGCTGGGAAATCAAGGGACTACTTTAAAGCATCCTCACCAGATCCTCCTACACAATCATAGTTCCTCTTTGCCTCTTCTCCCTCTGAGAGTGGCTCTGCTCCAGGGCAGCTTTGCTCTCCCTGCCCCTTTGCTCACTATCTCGGTGAAATCATGAGATGAAAGGAAAAGTGTTGGGTCAAGGTCACCACTCTGGCCCTAAAACACACTTTGGCCCTGCTGATAAACATCTCCAGGGACTTCCCGGTCTCAGAACTAGTTGTGCTCTAAGGTTTCCTGGTGAAAAGGTGCCTGAGATGGATTGTTCTTTGCTGTGAAGCTTTATTTGTGATGGTGCAGCAGCAGCACTGTACTACAGAGGGTTTTTGTGTCACCTGCAAATAGTAAGGGCCTGAAGGTCTCTTGGGAAGAGAAAAAACAGGGGAAATGGGGGTTACTTTGCAATATTCCTGCTCGAGACTAGTGAGAGGGTTTTCTCCCTAAATGCGGGAGGAGTCTCTATATGGGGGACAAAGTGTGATTGTGCACATTTTGATACTCATGAGGAGGGGAAACCAGGCTGGAATGCCTGATTTGAAGGAAGAACAGAGTATGATGGAGGGGGGAAAATGAAATCCAAAAAGATGGATGCTGAACTGACTGCGTGGGTGAATTCTGGCAGCTGAACCCCAATCCAGTGTATGTAGACCTTAAAGGGTTCCATGCTGAAAATGAACTTTCATTATATCTCCCAAACATAAAGAAGCTACAAAGCTAATTAGGACAGTATTGACTTCTTATCCTTTGACACGTAGAAGATATTTAGTGGTGTTCCTACGTCAGAAGTCTTTTCTCTGAGCATCATCTTACTCCATGGACTCAACTATATCCGTTGAGCTGAGTGTGATAGTTGGTGGCTTCTGGTTCTTTGTTGCTGTGAGGTTTGGGTTTGTTGGTTTTTTTTCTCCAGCTGGCTGAGGATGGGAGATGTTTGAGGATGTGAGATATTTGAGGATGCAAGCTATATTTGGGGGCTTACTCTGAGACCACAGCGCTTCTGATGGCTCTGGGTGAGATGAACTTGGGGGATTGTATATGTGAAAATAGGTATAATTCCAACTCCTCACACCACCCCCTTCCCTGTTTTCCCCATCCCGGCCCTTTCAGGCGTTCACGGCCTCCAGCATCCTGCGGACCCACATCCGCCAGCACTCTGGGGAGAAGCCCTTCAAGTGCAAGCACTGTGGCAAAGCCTTCGCCTCCCACGCCGCCCACGACAGCCACGTGCGCCGCACGCACAGCGAGGAGAAGGGCTGCCTTTGCCCGGTGTGTGGCCAGCACTTCCCCGAGAAGGAGGATTACCTCTTCCACAAGAAGGTCCACGCCACCCATTAGCCAGGAGGGACACCTCCTCCACCAGCTTCGCCCGTGCTATGGGTCTGTGGTGGTGTGCACACGCCGCAGGAGGTGACGTTGTGACCCTCACGGTGGTGACTCTTTGGATACATCCAGTCTCTCTGGAGCCAGGGGATATTTCTGAGTGCAGGGGGTTTCTCTCCTGAGAACCCTGATGACGCGCCGGGATGAAGCCCATCATGCACTACCCCACCTTTCCTTTCCTCGCCTCCCATATCCTAATTTTCCCAAAAGGGAAAGGCAGGCAGGAGGGAATTCCACCTCCCATCGACCTCTTGTGCACAAATATCCCTGTGTGGAGTGTCCCCGTGCCTCTAATGCACCACCTCTATGGGGACTGCCTGGTGCAGTCCCTACCAAAGCTTGCGTGAGGGACGTTTTTATCAAGTGCATTTCCCAAAGCCCGTTTATTTTAACCTGTTTATTTTGTGTGGGTGCACGACCAGGTATGGGCTCTTCTTCTCCTTAACATGCAAGTCTTTTAATGGCTCTTATTTGAATGTGAACTGTCTCAGAGATGTTGATTGCTGGAGCAGCATAAGGGTATTTTATTTATTCCATCCCTCAGCTGGCCATGGGGACCTTCAGGACATTGAGACACCAGCTCTTCCAGAGGATGCTAAACCCCAAAATATCGCAGGGGGAGAGGGGCCAGGGGATGATGAAACAGCTGCGGGTCTAGCAGAGATATTGGAGATTGACTCTGCTTCCTCACAGTTTAGAAGACCAAATGTGAAGATAATTTATGCCCGGGCACCAGTGAGCTCTTGGGTGGGTCGCTAAGGGCCAAGTGGCCTCGTAGAGGTGTTGGTGCTGTGGGCTCAGCACAGGCCGGCAGCAGCCACGATCCCACCGCTGGGCTCTTCTGTCCCATAACCATCTTTGGTCCAGAAATTTGCCACTGTTGGGTGTCCTGGCCAGGTGGGCCTTAGCAGTGAGTCTTGATATGAAAGGTGGGCTCTTCTGCTCCCTATTGCTGGCTCTACGTAGGATGGTAGCTGCTGAACTGTCACTCCCAAATGCTTTTAAAAAATCACTGTGTACTAGTTCTCAAGGCACAAAGGGTTTTAAAACCTTTTAAGATGTGAGGTGTAGGACAGATGATGCCAGGATTTCACAGCTCAGCCCCTATAACTCTGCAGGTGGGATTCCCTCCCCAGCCTGCAGGAACACCTAAGCCTCCATGGGAGGTTTGACCCTCACTGACAATGCAAGCTAGGTTTTTTCTATAGGAAGAGCTGCTCGTTTAGCTATGGGTAAGAAGGCTCCTTTTCTTAATAGCTCGCCTTGTTTCTTTTGCATTCTGACTTGGAGAAGAACCCCAAGTAACGCTTCAGATGTCCCATCCTCTTGTATGAGCAAACTTTGGCCCAGATCATAAGTATTTCTGAAATGATTAATGAAGAGCATTCCCTGGCAATGTGATACCTCATCTTGCTGGAGGTCTTGAGTATTAGGACCACTGCTGTAACTGGTGCAGAGTGCCTGGGACAATGAGGAGGGGGCTGTACATCCCAGGGGGGGTCCCTGTGTCCATGCGGGGCTGTGTCTTGCATCCAGGAGGGATAATGGAAGCCCTTGCTGGAGCTGGTTAATTAACACAGGTGATTTGATGTTACTGGAATGATGAGGTTCTCTTAATATCCTAGATGAGCTAGGATTAACGAAGACTTTGCACATAAGTATCAGAGATAAAAGCTTTTAATGTTATCTGCACATTTAATTATATCATGCAGCTGCTGTATCTATAAATATTGATTTGCACTAATTTTGTATGGTTTATTGTACCTTAAGTTGCTCTGTCCTCATTGTTTTCATGGTAAAAAT